GAGAGAGAGAGAGAGAGAGAGAGAGAGAGAGAGAGATGCTGAGGAAACAGAATGAGGAATGCAGTGCTCTGTCTTTTAGAAACAGAATTTACTGTTTCATTTCATTTTATTGAGAAAAATCCCCATTGCCATTATCTTTTCCTAACCACAGGTAGTTACTGTCTTTATCCCATCTTTCGGTGGCTTTGGAATACTGTTTTTGAATGAGTTGGAAAATGTGTAGTTTCACTGGTTTGATGTTATTAGAACTTGAGCTGGTGCCAACATCAGTATTTCTTAATAGTGCATCTTTGCTTGTTTAATTGTGCTCCAATTTCTTCCAACTTAGTTGGTACCCCCTTCCATTAAAAAGAGTCTCAGCAGTTTTATTCCAAAGACCCCATGCTTAGCTTGGTAAGTTCTCTTTATTACTTCGGGGGTGAGGCTGTGTTGGCAGTGCCACTAAATCCACACTAAGAGAAGGGTCTGAATTTAATACAAAAAATAAATCCACATTCTGAAGAAAACAAGTTTGACATTTTAAACAAAAACCTAAAAAAGGCAACTGGATAGGCATATGTGAGATCAGTTTTTCACCTATTCATTTAGTTTGGAACCACTGGGATTCTTAGCTTTTTTAGTTATTTTCTGTGCCTATGTGTGCACACGCACACATGCTCGCACACGCACTCCTTAACCCCAGAAGAGTCATTGGTAGCAGATGTATATTTTGAGAACCATCAGCTGCTTTTTTAAAAAAATCATTAATTAGAGGAATTTAGGTTCTGAGTGGGATTTTAAATTTTGTTTGTTAATTACTTAAAACTATGGCATCCTGTATAGTGATGATTTAAAAGATTACAAATTTATGAAAGATACAAGTTCTCTTATTCTGCTCCTCAAAGTGAACAGTCTTACAAGGAAAAAAATTATTGGTAGAATATTTGCCTCTTAGATATTCAGAAGGTTGGAGCAGCTGTGTGATGTTACAGCAGCTAATGTGGAGAGAGTCTTATTTCAGAGAGTGTGGAGATGAATGTCACATGAAAGAGCCAGCTTCTGAAATGCTGGTCTCCAGATAGTAAATCCGTGGTCCCTGGTAAGCACTATTCTCATGAGAACCCAGCCATGAACGAGCTGTCACAGATTCCCTGGGAGCAGGAGCTGGCATGTGTGTCCTCTGAGTTCTTAGATGGGTTTGCTCTTAGACTGTGGGTGGCATTAGTGGTAAAGAGGAAGTTAAGTTTACACTTTAGCTTTTCTCCCACCAACCATTTGAGTAGTACGGCCCTAAACTGTAGGAGGAAGAATTTTAAATGCTTAGGGTACATGATTTTGCCTTTCCAATCAAGGTGAGGCTAAGCCAGCACAGGCACAGATTTAAAGAGGCCTTAATTAAGACTTCCTGCCATAAATAGCTGCTTTTTGAGTAAAGGATGGCTGTTTGGTACAGCTCTGTACTGTTCAGGGAGCAGTGCAGAGACAAACCCAAGAGCTCTGCTTTACCTCTGGCCTCAGGACCCCTCTGAAGGAGCCACCTCACTTGCTAAAAGAAATCCCCAAATTAGGGTTCCAAGGCCCAAACAGCCTTAGACTTTGCACAGTCCAGTGCCCATGTTCCCTGCCAAAGAGCTCCCTGGAGCAGAGAGTGACAGATTATTGCCCATGGGGAAAGCCTGGAAGACCCTTGAGTTGAGAATGTTTCCATTTTTAAAGGAAAGTTGGAGAAGAAGAATATGCAATTTAGATGCTGTGGCCTGTAGAGCCTAAAACATGTGCTGACCCTTCATAGAACTGCCCCTTTGCTGACCGCTGCACTAACAGTCACATTTAAGAAAGGACATATAGAATTCCTCTTAATTCAGGGAGTTAACCATTTATGGACACAAAACAGATGGGCAAGTCTGAGAAGTGACGAAACTTCAATTTTAAAAATACTTGTTCATGCACCAGAGGAGTTTCACTCCCTAAACTTTTCATCTAGATTAATTTCAAGATTATTTTTCCAATAAACCAGGAGTCGTGCCCCCATTTAAAAAGTACTCTTCAGGAGACTCACTGTTCTGTGCTGAAACTTCTGCAGCCGGGAGAAGCTCACCTCGTTTTTCACCCCCTTCTGCCACAGGAGAAGGGACAGCAGGCGCTTCCTCTCAGTAGTGCAGGGATGGGCCTCTGTGTGAGGCAAGCCAGGGGGAGCTTAATTCAGGGGAAGAATTAATGTTGGTTAAGGGTTGTTCTAGAAGGCCATAAACTCTGAATACTTGTAATAGAAAGCAAAAGGAATTAGACTGGTGGGCACTTGCTAGAAGCCTTGTCGAAGGAAAACATTCTGTGCTCAGTCCTGGCAGCAGCCACTGCTAAATGCGTCTGTGTCCCGTCACCCTGTGTACTGCTCCTTTTAGACCCCCAGAAAGAGTTCTCAAGATTTTACAGTCCATTTAAGGAAATCAGAGTGAAAGTACAAACATACTGTTTTGTACCATTGGTTTTTGCACATTTCCACCCTATACTCCTGGCTTTAGGCAGCACCCCCCGACCTGGGGGTAAACTGAAGAGGCTGCCCATGGCTCTGTCTGGCCACCCCAGAGGCCAAGATCACTTGTTCACCTCCCATTGTCCACACCTGTGGAAAGCTCTAGATTAACAGATACTCAAATTTTAAACTCAGGCCTACGTAGAATAGTTTTCCTTATAAGAAGCATGCGTCTCACTTAAGAAGAAACTCAAAAAGGCAAATGTGTTTTCCAAGCTTTTAAAAACAATCAGCTTTAGGATTTTGTGTGGTGATGTGCAATGCAGCAAAACTACCTGCAAGTAAGTTATTTGATTATTTATTTCTATTTCAGTGGGGGTTTTTATGATACTGATTTTCCCTTTCAATAATAAATGATGCAACCAATCAAGGAGAATTCTTTGTTCTAAGGTTATTTTTACAGTTTGGAATTACAAAAGCTAAGGGAGTTTCAGTGTGTTTTATTTAAATGATGTTTTCCATTTGAGGTAAGAATAGTTCTCTCTGGGGGATTGTTGTGGTGTTGTGTCACTTTCCATTGTTGGTAACCTCTTGTGGCCACACTTACACATCAGCTAGTGTTGAGAATCAAAATCAAAGTCCATCAGTGACCCACAGACTTGTGTGAGCTTGCTTTCTTGTGATTTAACTAGGTTTTTCTCTGACCTTTGAATCTTGTTACCTGTTACAATGCTTAGTTGAACTTGATTCTAAATTCAGTAAAATAAATGGTCTGAGTCTGACGGCACTCTGTGTGTTTGCTGTGTCCGGTGTGCATGTGGCAAAGCGCCCGTGTGCTTCCTGGAGGGAGGGTCTGTGTATACCAGGGCACAGACACCAAACACTCCACAAGGACAAGTATTTACCAAGGGGTACAGTACTAAGCACTCCTCACAAAAGGCCACACCAAGACAACTTTGTCTAAGGTATTTTAAAGTACCTGCTAACTATATGTAAAGACAAGAAAAAGAAATGAAAAAGAACATATTTCCTCTTACAGTAAAGACAAATGCTGACTTTATGTTGCGCCATTTTGCATTTCAATCTAAGCATAAAGACATTGGCTTATTTCCAGAGAAATATGAATCTTATTAATGTTACTAAGCTGGAGCTTTTTTCAGCTCTGTAAGAATATATAAATAGAGGTCTTCCTGGCGGAGGAAGGTGGGGCTGAAAATAGATGATCGAGACAGATGGAAAGGGAAGGGGACCGGCTGTTAAGAACAACAAAAATAAAAGCCTAAAAAATGTGTGTGAGAGGAGGGGCAGGCAGACACATTGGCGCAGAGCGTGATGGCACTGAGAGCGAGTGAGCAGAAAATACAGTGCTCAGCCACTGAGGGCAGGGAGACCAGGATAACATGTCCCAAGAGAACTTTCTCAAGTAATTTTGAGGCAGTGCAATAAGTATAGGTCTCTGTGCTTGAGGGTAGATACATATCTAAGGCACCTAACGGTACCTACATTTTCTCCACATGATTGAAGAGCAGTAACTGCCTGTTTCCAACCATTAGCCATGTTACAGATCTGAAAGACAGTGGTTTTGGTTTTTGGTTTTTCACCAGTTTCCATTTGTCCCATGAATCTGGAATGCACAAGTGGATCCTTTTTTTTTTCTTTCTTGAGATCCTGAAATCCTAATGGCTGCACAGAGGGGTTTGTGGCCCTTACACTGGTCTGGGGGCAGAGAAGTGAGTGTCATCTCTATCAGAGTCAGACTGTCTTCTGGAAAGGTCCTAACAAGACAGGAGGGACCTGTAATTCCAAAGACCAACTCAGCAGATACCGCAGTTTGCCTGAAGCTTCAGGCTCAGGTTGAAACGCAATACCTCGAAGTGTCCTCCCCGCCCAGCCTGTCGGAGCCTGACTGCCTCAGCCCGTGCTCCCACCTGCTCTTCACAAAAGAAGGCGATCTGTTGAGGCATTTTCATTTGTTTTTTAACAAGGTTAGTGCCCCCTTCCCAGGTGTAGTGCCTCTTTCTATTAATATATCCATTAAGGTTGACTAAGATCTGCCACAGAGGGGCCTAGCGCTGTTCTGACCTTCCACCTGAGCCCATCGCCCTTGATCCTGTTTGACAGGTGAATTGGGTCTCGGCTCCAGACTTCATGGCCACTTAGAGGTTTCTGTCAGCAGC